CTCGACCCCATCGTTTCCATCGTAGTCGTTCTTGATCAGTCGATGAGATTAGCATTAATGCTTGTGCTAATAAACGAACATGTAACAATTGCGCTCGATGTTCCGTCATATGTCGTTCGAAGATAACATTTTGACCTTGCTTTCTAATCTTTTCAACATTAACATTCGATAGATTTTGCAAACGTTCTATTTCATTTTTTAATACATGCAGCGACGTACAGTCTACTGTTAAGAAATGCTCATTATGATAGAGATGAAGTCGTTCCAAAATTGGAACTAAATCATTCGTTGTGACAAGTGCTAAACCATTTGCTGGTAATTCAAATAGTTTCGCTATTGCATAGTTAACTGACTGACATGTACCGAAACCGAAAACATATTGTTGCATGTAGGAAAAATATCGTTGTCCTCCATAATGATAAGCACTGCCATGCTTCATTTTTGCACCATAACCCGGATGTCTCAAACATTTAACTAAATGCTTTAGTTTGTGAAGGCAAAGAGCGAATGCACGTGCGCGACATGGATACCATTCGTATATGTTTGCACCTGAGACAAACAAAATATTCGCTGCTGTGTGATTTATCGAGTGATAGGATAATCGAGATGCTGCGTGTGGTAACCAAGTAATGCGATTTTGTGATATGTTCGAGTAATAATTATGGAAGAGATAAGCATAAGTTGAAAAGATTTCGGATGCGAATGATTCGAACAAATACTGCCGACTGCGATAATAACTTTTGTCTGTATAATGCAAATCATCAATAAACGCTACCAAACGAACTTTGAAGTTTTCGAAAACTGATTTCCAATACTCGGAAACTTCATGCCATAGAACTAGATTAACATCCCAAATGAGAATAACAATCGGGACGGGATTTTGTTTGTAGGATTGTTCATCGAGATCACATGCATTTAGAAGATATTTACTAAGATTAGTTTCGCTATTAAAATCAGTAGGTTGTGTAAATGTTCGGTATTTTACATTTGATCGTATTCCAATTTGTTTCAAGGCGGTCAAAATCTCGGCGAATTCATGGGATACATAAGACCACCACGGTCCTCCATCAAGATTTTCAATCAAAAAGCATGCCTCTTGTTTGAAAGACTGATGATAGATTGAACTGATTTTGTTTAAATGGAATTCCTCGGGATGACAAACAGCATACGAGCGAAGATCAAATGTTAACGGTAAGTCTGGATGTAATCGACTTGTTATTGGCGAAGGAAGTGGTGCGACGAAGTATGCAAGAGGATTCAGATAATATACTAAAGCGAATAACCAACATATCAGAAAAGAACAAAATCGTGTATTACGAAATGGAGTTGAATAATAATGAATACGTCGATGCATGGAAAATCATTCTAAAATGTCTACAAAACTTGAGGATTTTATTGGTTTTTGCAAACGCCTTTGTAACATACGCACCTACCCATTGAATGAAAGTATACATTGAATGTAATGCATGACTTATCATACGACTTTTTACTGTCGCTCGCTCGCGTCTGTTCGAATACTGTACGTTGAATAGGACGACTCAGTAAACACAATAAAGGAAGTAAAATAGTCCTTCTCGATTTTGTAACAGGGTGTACATAAATTGATTTTTTGTTTCATTCGTGATTTATTATTTGATTGAATATACAGATGTATGTATGTTTATACAAAAAACAAAGAAAGAAAGAAATAAACCACATCTACTAAAATGACAACAATAAAAACAACAGAAACAACAACAAACAAACAAAATCGTTCTCTAGTTTAATTTTTCGATGACTGACAAAGCTATTGACTTTTGGTTTTCATTGACGAAATATAAAATCAAGACAAAAGTTGTAAAGCATGCAAACGAAGAGATTATTGCAGTGTGTAAATATAGAATGATTTTGTCGCGATGCGGCAAGTAATATGCACAAGAGACAGTAAGAGGAAATATAATAGATAGAGAGATTCGAATCTAAGCGAGACAAAGAAAAATAGAGAACAAAAGAAAAAGACGAAGGAGAAACGAACACTATCTGAATAGTAAATGTACAATAGAAGTAAAGAGACAAAGAAAACAAAACGAATTTTTCTTCGTTGTTGTGAGACAAAACGGCACGCGGAATCTATTGATGATATTGATGATAGAGTGCTATTGTTGCTGCTGCATCGCCATAATCAGCATTTGTCGTTGTTGGCGGTGCGGCCGGCGGATTGCCAGTGGTCCAATTATCATTCGCTGAAGCCCATGTTGAACCGCCATTATTGCTTGCATAAGTTCTTCCATCATTATTCCCATTACCTGTCGAGTATTCTTGTCCCTCTTGATTGTTGTAAGATGCCGGTGATTGTGTTGGATAGTGTGCAATTGGATTCGACACAATTGCACCGGAGTTTCTTGCATATGTTTCATATGCTTGCCGGTTATAATCATTCGCATTGGCAATCACGGATGTCTTGTTCGTTGGCTGGCTTGACAAAAATGTAACGATAATAAATTCGATTTCTTCTGTACATGGATTGCAAAATGCATACGTTGATGTTTTTAATGACACATAATCGTTGTCGTTATTTGTACGAAAACGTACGATAATGTTTGTCAAGTTTGATGATGTGTTTGACAGATTCTTTTGTGTCACTGTTCGTTTATAAAGCTCTTGAAATTTAATTTGATCGTCGGGATGGATTTGATCGTAGATGATCTTATGTAATAATTCATGTGTTTTGTAGCCAATTATTGGTGCACAACGTTGGTCAATGAATAGAATTTCACCTGTTTCGCTGTGGCAACGACAAGTGAATTCAGTTGTAATGGAATTGATTGACGAAATCGAACTATTGGTAAGATCATTGACATTGGGTGCACAAGAATTTTGTATACGTGCAATGGCAATGAATGCCATTTGACCATTGGAATTCGATGATGACGATGGATTGTCATGATGCGATGACGGATGATGATGTGTATTTAGATTACGAATATAACCACTGATATGTACGACCTCATACAAATGATTGTCAATCGATGGGCCCAACGATGTACGATGACGACGACGTAGAACACATGGATTCACAAATGGATTTTGATGTGAATGATCAAGTGGATTGGCCGATCCGACGCGTAAACGACAGATAAACGAGCGTTTTGAACTAACTAAAATAAGAAGAAAAGTTTTCCATTAGCAAATCATTTTCAAAGAGAATATCTTCCGAGCATGAATCAAGTCTACACTTGTTAGAAAGATCTTATCCCCCTCTCTTTCTCTATTAATGAGCAAGATAGACTTACCTAATCGAGCACCTGTAGCATGCCCTTCCTTTTTAACTGTACCAGTTTTCAGATCTAAAACTCTTCCACTACCACTTCCATTTGGGCTCCCATCTTGCGGTTGTAAATTCAATTGCTCGCGAACCTTTTCCACATCATCAGGATGTACGAAATCTAAACAGAATATTTCGTTCGACAAATTCGAAACAAAGTGCTCTTCGTTCGTCTTTTACCGTAGAAATAGCGTGAATACCAATCTTGACATGTGTATGAAAGTACATGTTGTATTGCATCACTTATATAGATAATTCGTAGATTGTCACAATTTAATGCGAATAGAAATGCATCACACGACTCGACCATCAGATATTTCAATTCCTGATCATTTAAAAATGATGGTTTATGCAGATCAAGCTGCTGCTGTTGCGGTACTTGAGATGGATTCAATGACAACGAATTGTTATTTGTACGCAACGTTTTCATAAACTGTGCAGCCATGCGTAAGATCGTCAATTTATCGGGTTTACGTGCTAGATTGGAACATGCAGGAACCATGTCACACAATTCGGCAAAATATGTGGCCATCTTTATACGGCGACGCCGTTCAATTTCACAATGATTTTCGCGTGCCTGTTTTTCTTTATCTTCATCGCCGCCTGCTCCTCCTCCACCATGTGGATGATTGTTCGACATCATCACATTTGGCATCGAAGCACCACGTAAATAGCATTTGTTTTCTTCGTCGTCATCATCGTCGTCTTCGTCAAGATCATCATCGTTGGTCTAGAAAGAAACAACTATAAGAGAAAACGTTACCATTGCTAACACTCACCATTTTACGCTTTCCACCAGCTTTGTTTGCTGCCGCGCCTCCAGGTAATTTTTCCGAACCAGCAGCATTTCGTTTTCGATGCGCCGTTTTACGCGAGGATTCAATTGAACTGGATGATGATGCAACTGACGGTGACGATGTGTTGAAGTCGGCATGATGCGGATGATGATTTAAACCTGTTGTTGTTGGATAGAATCCTGCTGTTTGTTGAACATGAAGGAGTTGTTGCGGGGGCAACCCATGACCGTAATAATGTTGATATTGACCGACACCAGGTGTGCTTGACACCGACGAAGCAGCAGCAACCGCGACAGCCGCTGCAGCGTAGGCTGCATTGGTATTTTGGTTGAGATATGGATGTTGAATAATTGAGCCTGAAGCATTAGTGATATCGCCCGTCGAAGGTACACCTTCATTGCCATAATTAACAGAAGACATAGTAGTTGAAAAAAAAAAAGAAAAAAGTATTAACGTCGATAAGCGATATAATAACGGCTAATATCAACTTTATCTGAAAATAAAATATACGATGATTTCTGTGAAAATGAAAGATAAAATGAATGTTGTTGCTGATTTAGTTTTATTTCTTTTTTTTACTATCATATTTTTTTCTTCTTTGGCATTATTCTTTTTTATCTATCACGGTTCTTGGAAAAATCTTCACACACACAGTAAAACTTCATAGACGGTGTGACAATAGCGCGCAAGATATAAAAGAGAAAAAACAACAACAAATAAACGTTTTGCCTATATACACCGGGTGTTTGGGTTTTTATGAAGAAAAATAACAACAACAACAACAACAATACGGATTTATCTAATATCTGTGTGTATGAATTTATCTCGCGCGTATGTCAAATTAATAATAACGAATATAAAAAAAAGAAAGAAAATCTTATGATGTTTTAAAAACCTGTCTAAATGATAGGATACTGATGATAGTTAGGACTGGTGATAATAGATGCTTTCGTTTTTCCATAGGGAGTATCATGTTCATAGTTATTCTTCTCATTCGGTGAACTATTTTCTTGTTGTCCTGTACCATTATCAACGATTGCACCATTAGCTCCTGGACCCCCCGATGTATAATAAGAATTGTAATCGTAAACATTACCACCACCGCTGCCATAGACTAGACATAGACGTACTGGTATAATGCAACTACTCTACGAAAAACAAAAGAACAAACCATTCGGATCTGCATAGACATTGGACGATGGATGAGGAGCACCATATCCATAATGAGAATAATATTCGTTCGCATTGATTCCACTTGATGGCCCGTAGGAATATTGAGAGTTTGTTTGATGTTGGGAATATTGTTGATAAGACGAGCTTCCCGAATTTGAAGCACCCGATGCGTCAGAACCGCCATACTGATAAGCTGCATGATTGCCTTGTTGATTGTAGGAATAGTTATTCCACCCTGCGTACCTACGACAAAAAAAAGCCCATTATGCATTTTTATACTACCATCACGGTTTATCAATTTTATGGAGACATTCGAATCATATAAGCTCTGCTTATCTCGATAAGTGTTCATAAATAGGCTTCTTACGGATCGGCAGCTGAATATGCGTTGACACCATAAGCTGGAACACCAGATCCATAATTGGCGTATATACTCTGTTGACCGTATGGATCGTAAAGTTGTTGTTGTTGCTGTTGATTGTTTAACGTTTTTGGTTTGGCTCTTTTGACATCAACAGTTATATCACCAATTGTATGTCTCTGTAAGCGAAGTACTTCTTGTGCGGATTGTTCATTTTGAAATGAAATGAAACAAAATGGACGTCGTTCACTTTTTTCTTTATCGTATGGTAAATCGATTTCTAAACAAAAGTTTTTTCATCGAATTGACTCAAAAGAGAAGAAGTTAACCGTTCAGCTTACCATCAATTGTGCCAAATTGTGAAAAGTATTCTCTCAGTTGTGTATCAGGAAAATTTGGATCAAGACCACCAATGAAAACTTTACGATTATTATTCGATATCGAATTCATTGATGATGACGATGACATCGAATTATTATTATTCGCCGCCAGGCGGCGATGGGCAGGTTTTGGGTCGACTTTTCGACCTTTGACAAAATGTTCATTTTGTGAAAGAATCTTATCAACTATATCTTTTCTATCAAATACAAGAAAAGCAAAACCCCGACTACGCCCAGTTGTTGGATCATGTTTAATTGAACAATCAAGAATATTACCAAAACTAGAAAAATATTCACGCAAATCGTCTTGTGTTGTGTCCCATGTTAAGCCGCCTAGATGGAATAGCGCACACCGTGAAAAAAATGAATTAAGCGATGGAGAAGATTGTTCCTTACCGACAAATAACTTTCTATCATCTTCTGCTTTTTGACCATTGATTTCATGAACAGGTGATGTTTCACCATCGCCATTATTTGAATTTATTGTCGTCATTTGAAAAACTGCAGATAAAAGAGAATCTTGATAAAAGATAATTTTCGGTCGAAGAAGATGATGTTTACTTACAGAATATAGGAAATAACTTTTATTTGCTTAATATAAAAGGGGAAGTTGAAACGAAGAATGACAATCGAACAAGCGCAAGTTCTGATGTCTAGAAGAAGAAAACAATAAAACCGTGCGAACAAAAAACAAACAAACAATTGAAATTAATAAACATTCGACAACAAAGAACTATGAAAGTGTTTATTTCTTTCTCAGATTCTCGCTGTTCGAATAAATCATGTCGACGAAGAGAAAATGAATCATATCTCCAGCTATTCGCTATGATACGTGTTGAACAAGATGTCAACATAAATGAGCGAAAAATTCCTTTTTCTCATCGTCATATGTTGCCCGTGTGTTAGAGAGCCATAATTGAATTCTTGCGTTGGTCTCGACAGAGATGCATTTTAAGTAATTAATGATAGAAAATTTTGAAGTTCAAAAGTCAAAAAACAGTTCAGTTTATTCTTTTTTTAATCGTATAGATAAAAAATGTTCGTTTTCTTAAAATATGCTTCAGTTTAATTAACGACATCTGCCACATAGAGGTCGTTAATATACAATAGACTAAAGTATATATATACCATCACATATATTTCTAAATCTAAAATGTCTCGTTCTTTTAATAAACAAAAGAAAACTTACATATTCATGTTGGCAAAGAGAAAAAAACAAACAAACTACATCTACGTTGTCTTCTTAGTGTTATCGTCAATAGTCTGTGACATAGATAGTTTTATCGGATGTTGTATAATAAACAGGCACACTTGTTGAGGTATATGTAGGATTTGTTGGTAAGACGGTGATATTAAAGGCACATTGTGTTGGTTTGGATGTTGATGGGATAACACTGAAATATAAACATATGGATATAGTATTGTTTCCGGTCGAATGCATTTCGATTAGGAAAACAAGCATGCAACTAATCTGCTGTGTTTTTTTTTCTGTACGATGCTACTGAAATAAAGTGAACCTACATTAGAAATCAGTTATAAATTCGTTCTGATTCATAGGACTGGAAATAGAGATGAGAAACATGTGTCGGGAAAGCTGATCTGAACTTACTTAACACGACTAATATGATGATTCATTGCTTCTTGAACGTTATCGTTTGAGTAGAGTGAAATAGGTGAATTGAATTGACGATGAACGAGATGTGTTGGCTGTGGTACAGACGGATCGTAGTATTGTTTTTGAACGTAAGGATTGATTTGAACTTTTTTCTGATATGATGGGACGTATGATTCAGAGTCATTATTACAAGAATTTGCCCATGATGGCGATGTATTCGAAGAATTTTGATAATTTGTTATTGACATCGTACGAGGACGATGATTATAAGTTGGACCGGGATAGAAAAGACGACCAGGAGAATAGGATATTTGATTGTTATTATTGAAATCATTGTTGCGATCTGAGTGAAAAGGTGGCGGTTGAATGTAACCTCGTGTTTTCGTTGAAACAGACGGAACTGGTCCGGGCATCATTGGGCTACCTGTTTGACTAGAAAACAGACAAAAAAGTTTATTTTAAGAAGAAAATATCGATCTGTGATCGTACCTAAGTAATGGCTTTGGCTCAGGTATACGTTCTAATGGTCGATTTCGAAAGAATGACTATAAGATAAAATGAACATTGATTACTGCATCCTAATCAATGATAAAAACATAATTATTACCATAGGTGTCAATTGATGTGTCGAAGGTGACCAAGGTGAATATGAATTTTCATGAGACCATGATATCGCTGACATGGGACGTTGATTTCTTGGTGATGGTGATGGTAGAGAGCCAAGATCAGATCCTCTTTAAACAGATCCAATCGAATAAATATTTAGACAAGAAAAAATAGCTCAAACCTTTGTATAAGAAATGTTATTCGGCCGCCAGCTCGTTGTATTAATTCGAGTGCATCTGTATGCAACATGGAACTAATTGGCGTTTCATCAATTTCCAAAATAATATCACCACGACGGAGATTTCCATCAGCAGGGCTACATGCATTGATCTGCAAAGAATTATGAAAATAGCTTTTATGAAAATAACATCTCGAGTTCTACTTTGTTAACAACGAATGGCGATCGAAAATCTGCCCCGCCTTGCAAACGAAAACCCCATGAGGTTTGCAAACTATCTCGTTGAAGAGTAACCTTGATCGTTTGTGCTGTTGCCATTAACTGATAGTCGTGCAGATTGATGTCTCACATCCGCTGTGTTCTTCTTCCTTTTCTTTGTCGGCGAATTGTCGACGAGAGAACGATTCTCTTTGTCTAACTATATATTAGTATTTGAACTTTTCTATCTCAATAAGAACAACAAGAACGTATCTGTCGATACCAAATATTCTTTAATCATCCCTTCAGGAATAACTATCGTCTATCGGTAAAAAACAGTACAGAACAATAATAATAATAGAACGCTAAAATTCATTGTACTTCTCCCACTTCCATCTGTAGACAATACTTCTTTGCATTTGTCTCCCGCTTAGACTGGCTTCTAAGAATCACATCAGTCATACACAACACGAATAACAACAACAAACAGATTGACGACGTCAATAGGCTCTAAAAGAGATGAATGATCTTCGTTCGCATTATCGGCTTCTAGTATATCACCAATCACAAACAATGAATACGAAATATCAACCATATTCCTTAAAATAGATCTCAAGAGTTTCTGTAGAACATAGAAGTTTCTAATTAATAGTTATCTAGTTAGTGACACCTCAAAATAGCAAACAAATGATTCTGCGAACAATGAAATATATATATATTTATTGGTACACAAGTAACCTTCATTATATATTTGTATACTCAGCTGCCAATTGACTAGAAGAAGCGATAAATAGGATGATATAAGTAGTTCTATAGAAGCCGCAGAGATGAATGTTGATATTCAAGAGATTCTCTCTCAAAACTCAAAGTCGATCAATGTCTTGTTTACATATTCTGATATTTATTCAGTTATTTATGTGGAAGAATGGTTAAATTATGTCAATAAGGTAAAAATTCGGATAAAACAAAATAAAATTGTCAATATCTTGTCCAACCTCATTGTATTGTACATGCCGCCGAACGTTTATCATTAAAGAACAATGTGGGTGAATCATTACTTCGATTAGAATGATCTGATTTTGTTGTTTTTTTCCAAAGTAATCCGGATGATTGGGTATCAGCCCGGGATCTCCCATCATTTGCAGTTGACGTTCTACTTTGATTTGTTAATTCGTTTCCTTCATGAATTACGGATAATGCATCCGAATCGGTTCTGTGTGAACGTTTAGGTGCAATCGATCGTCTCATACTAACACGATAAGATAGAGAAACACGCCGCTGTTGGTTGACCATTCTTGCGTAATAGTCATCCCACTGAGAAAAAAAAACGAATTTAAGATTAATATGTGTTGAAAACATCTTCATTGTAACAAGAATGATCTTACACTTACTTGATTTTGTTTATTTGTATCTTTCTGCTCGATATCATCTAGATATTCTTTTTCTTCGTCGCCAAATAGATAGATTTCGATAGTACTATCTTCTTTATCCTAAAAAATACAATCTTATTCTGAAGTTTGTTTCTTCCTGCGCATTTACCACATTATTTGTTGGCTTTAGTTTCGTTCCTGTACTCGAAACAACCGCCGTGACTAGCTTATAGAATTTGGCATAATCATTCTTATCATCCCATTCACGACATAATTGCTAATAGAAAAAGAAAAACAGTGAAAACCTAATCAACGGAGAAACTTTCGTACTTGAATTCGTTTTTCTTTCTGCTCTAAGCGGATATATTTCTTGTGAAGTAGAGTTAGCTCAGCTTTCAACTTCGAATCCCCAGGTAGACTTGTGTTTGTATGGTTTGCAGGTGGTAAGCTCGTATCGTCTTGTTTTTGTTCCATGATTTTCATATCCTAAAACAACGATTCACTCCTTTCAGTTCGTAAAATCTCGTCTCATACACGCGTCGTCATTCGATATAATTTTGCCGAAGGTTTAGTTTCTTCTTGCACGGCAAAGATTTGAAAGATAATTGAACCATTTTCGAAAAAGTCTAACCAGTCCTATTCGATAAAAAACAAACATTCTCTTTTGAAGAAAAATACCACTACATTTTAAACCTCACTTCATCAACATTGTTGACGGTCACCATGCGCGTTTGTTTGATTCGAGAACACACCGCATTACGACATATGATATTTGTTTCGCTAAATTCCGTTTCGTTAAAAACTCGATGACGTATACGAAGACCTTTATTAAACCGTTCATCGGTGATTTCAATGTAGTTTATTGTCACCTGTAAAAGTTTGAAAAAAAAGAGTAGCTCATGGTGGCAAATGGAGGAATAACTTACTTTAAAGTAATATGGCTTGTTGAGAAGTTCTTCTGGCTGATCGATAAAGTGTTCTTCAGTTAAAATTTGACCATTGGATAGACATGGACTTATATTGAGAGTGAGTCGACCATGTTCTAAACCCTAATCACGAAATCAATGATCTACTTCGAAGATAGATGCAAATATTTACTTTATGATCAACAATAGCAATCTCGTCGTCGAAATCTAGTAGATAAGCTAAACTCTGTACGAAAGCATTCGCACTGCCGATTAAAACATCTTCCGCTGGTTCCCAAAACCTAAATAAACGTCAGTTATTTATCACACCAACTCACAATCATTCATTACGGATCGTCTTCCTTCGCAATGTATAGTATGTCTTCACCACCATCGAGAAATTTCTGATAATGTTCCTAAAAATATTTGTACATGTATTTGTCTGCGAACATACAGCTTAATCGTTACTTTGATGATATAACTGCGATTGAAAAATTTCATATCATCCCAGTACCAAAAATTCTGATTGATTAAATTTCTCATTCGAATCATAACTCTAGAAAGGATATCATCGAGATTTTCTCGAATGAAGTCGGTATTCTCTAGATTTACTTAGTTCCTTTCATAGGCACACCATCCCATGTTGAAATCGGCATAAGAACAAGTTCAAATACGCGATATTTATTCAGTTCTTCGCTGATCGCGTTCACTTCCGAAAGCAATGGTAACAATGTTAAGATTTTCTCTTGGATAACTTCTTGCTCTATGCTTAAATTACTTCCAAATGAGTAACCTTTGACTTTGGCAATTTCCTTCTGTGCAAATTCCCATGTTATTGATGTTCGAACATTTCCTGATGAGTCTTTTTCCTTATTTGGATTTAAAAATACGTACAAATGATTGGCACCGAATAGAATACGATCTTTATGATTGAGAACAGTAGCTCTACAAAGGAAATAAGCAATGGAATTCAATTTCATAAAAATTAGTCTACCCATTAATGTAGAAACCATTGATTTTAATTTGCGCACTCGGTTCTGCAGGTGTCAATTCATATTCATCTGTCAACGTTCGATTAATAACCGCGTGGTATTCAAGTATACTGATTCCATTTAGATATATCATACAGTCACGACTACCAATCGTTATTTTATCTGTTTTCAAATAATACGAGATGACATATGACAATAACGGATCTTCATTGAGGTTCGCTAAGTACGGAACTTGTTGATTGGATTTTATCGACGCTGTACGAGGTTTATTTTCCAACTGAGCGTTCTTAAGCTAAATCGATCTTCGATGTAATTCGGCAAATTCTGTTTGTTTTCATCCCTTACCTTATCATCCCAGGATATACTGGAATCTAGTAACAGTTTTTGATTGTCTTGTATCTGTGACTGAATTTCTTCTTCCATTTGCTTACGAGCTAGCTCAATGTCTTGCACAGACATACCTGGTTTTACGTCTAGGTCAAAATTGTAATTTCCGGTGTCGATTAACAGTTTTAAACGATGATTTTCTTCCTATTTGAGTACAACAAATTCAAACATTTCTGATTGAACATTTCACTTACTTTTAATTCCCGAATTAATTTATCCATGGGATTTTCATTGACAATAGCAACGTTTTTAATACGTTTTACCCGATCAGCAAAACGAAGTGTACTCAACGTTTCATCGTAATTGACATCCGCTGGTGAAAGCGCGGCAATCATAATTGTTTTACTATTTCCTCCCAATGCATTTTGAAGAAGCTTCGTTAGAACAGAATCTCGATACGGTACGACTATTTTCCGTTTCACTCCTGATGATATGTCCACTAACGCCGAAATCACATTTCCCAGTGTTGATAATGATCGATTAATATTTGTACTTTCTTTCAACCGATCACCCGTCACTCCTGTCGTAGCGATTCGTTCCGATCCTTTGGACAAACAAATCAAACGTACAATTCTTCTAAAAAACAACAACTCTCGACTGTTTTTACCAGCAAGATCAACTAGATTGATAACACTGGTTTTTTTCGTATTCTCGAGATCATTCTTGATGATTTGATCAAAATGAATCGTCACGATGGTATGTGCACGGCTACTTGTTGTATTCATATTTGTCGCAGCTATTGTTCGATTTTCTGTTCCTTCATTTATTCGGCGTTCAATATCTGCATAGCTACCGACTGGTACAATTCGAAGACCATGCGGATAGAAACAACCAGAAGTCGGATGTTGTCGAACAGTTAAACCTAATGACATTTTCATTCGTTGTTCGTTTCCGATCGGAAATTTTACCTCCTTTAGGATTATCTCGTGTTAGTAAATCACGAACTTGTTCATTGTAAACTTCCATCATTGATACAGCAACTTCAAAACGCTAGAAGCAAAAATTAGCACACGCTCAGCATCGACACAAATCTTTGCCGACGATGTGTTTCATGATAAAATCATGTTCTAGTCAGATTAAGTTATTAGTTTAGGATGAAATCAAGCTGATAACTATTATAGTTAAGGATAAAAACTGTTCCTTTTGTTTCTTGCCAACGTGATAACATACTGAAGTTCATTTTTTCTTTCTACTTTTTTCTAGAAGGAGTCGTGATTTTTCAGAATGGTAATTAAGAAAAAGCTTCTGTTCTCTCCGTTTTATTTGAAAAAGTTTTACTTAAAAACTCTTTCGTACTCTAATATTCGTCCTCAACAAAATCACAAACGACTCACCAGCGTTGCACTTCTCTGCTTTTCGATTTTTTGAAACAATTGGTCACATGCTATCGGTACGATTCCACTGAGAAAATCAATATTTAAAGAAATTTCGTCTCGAAAAAGCACATCATTCTACCGATTAACACCATAGCCAATCATAGAATAACTTTTTCCAGATCCTGTCTGACCATACGCAAATAGCGAACAATTAAAACCTGTGAAAGAAACTATGACAATCGTCAAACAGAAGTATACAAGTCGTCCCACCTTCGAAAGCATTTTTTAACACGTCACGACCGAGTTCGTCGAAAACTTTTTGTTGACTAGCATAATTTGATGATGAATCACTCGCTTCTAATTTCCCGGAAGAAAGTTCTACGAAACCATCGTGCGACCTAGCAAACATTTTGCTCGGTGATTAAT